TTTTTTTTAGAGAAATAGAAATTGCAGTCTTTATAGAATCGCCAAAAAAATATGGGAGGGCTAATTTGGTTATTCTATTATTTGTTTCCTCTTCAAAAATTATAATAAATAAGGAGTTTTTTTTTTTTCAAAATTTGGTTAGTATAAAAAAGTTCAGTGAACAGTGTTAAAAGAATGGGAATATTGGAACCATTCATTTACATTTTGAAGAAAAGATTTTCTTTCTCCATATGGAGAAAAATTTAGAGAGTAGTTATTTATTTGTTGTTTTCGTTTTCATTTTCCTAATTTGACACTATTATAAATTTTGCTGGGATTTTTTTTTTTTCAAACGGCATACATTCATAAATATAACAACCGGTAACAACAATAAAGACCAACCACACGGCTGGCATCATTGAGAGGACAACCCAACTGACAGTCTAATCGAACACGCACTACACACCCACAAGCTACAACTCACCAGCAAGCTCCCAACCGAAGAGTTTAACTCCCAAAAGGAGAATAAATTTTGATGGAGTTATTTTTTCTTTTATGTTTATTTTTCACTAGTATAACACCCGTGTATTACACGGGTGCTTGCTAATTTTTTTCTTAAAAGTCTAAAATTAATGAGAAAAAGTAGTTGAAACTTAAATACCTTTTACAAATATATATATATATATATATATATATTATATTTAGTATGACACTTTTTATTTGTGCTTAGATAAATAATATATAGAATGTCTGAACCTAGATTATTAATTATTAACATATCAATATTATTTGTCCAAACCTAATTACGAAACATGATTCTTCGTCAAGTAGGATTCTGAAGTACCAAAAACAACCACGTAGGTTTAGCGCATTCGGGAATTATATATAGGGAGGATTGAAATGTAATGTTTAAGGGTTTAATTTTTATTTTAATTATCCCATCTTTTTGGTATGTGAATTTTGTTGGAATATATGTAATATATTAGTTAAAAATGTGAAGTTGAATTCATCAAATATACTATAAATAAAATAATGTGTTTTTTTCGGGTAAAACAATTATATGTTGATTTATTAACGTTTGCCTAATAATTATGCACTTGTTTAGGTGAATTTTGAATTTTTTTGAAAGGAATGTAAATAACAAAAAATACGATTACTGATTTCGGAAAAAGGAACCAAAATTGGCTCAAGTGGGAGGCCGGAGAGATTCCGGCGACGAAGCGCCGGTCGCCGCGTAATCATGATTTGACACGTGGCAAACTGATTTTGGTTCAGTGAATGGGTAATGAGTCAGTAAATTAAGTAATTTCCTTTTATAATTTCTCGTTTACTATTCTGCTCATTTTCTCCTTTAATGTCTCGAAGTATGTGTGGCCGGTCACATTGAGGCCCAGGATACGCGGCCCAGTTAAATTATGTCGGTCAAAGTAAAAAGTCATTTTGGCAAACTCACCTACTTGACCAATTAAAAGGGAATGGTCATAAAATGATTTTTACCATAATTACCATGATTGTTTTAAGTATTTCGATTAGCTGTTTATTACCCTGAAAAGCCTTGAAATGTATATTATTTACTATGTGAATTTATTTATTTAATTTTCAATTTTAAGGTATTTTCGACTAAGGTTGTTTTCACTAAACGAGAAATTATCGCATCTATATATAATTCCCGAATGCGCTGAGCCTACGTGGCTGCTTCTGGTGCTTCGGAATCCTACTTGGCGAAGAATCATGCTTCGTAATTAGGTTCGGACAAATAATATTGATATATTAATAATTAATATCTAGGTTCGGTCGCCCCTATATATAATTCTCGAATGCGCTGAGCCTACGTGGCTGCTTCTGGTGCTTCGAAATCCTACTTGCCGAAGAATCATGCTTCGTAATTAGGTTCGGACAAATAATATTGATATATTAATAATTAATATCTAGGTTCGGACATTTCATAAATATTATTTAGCTAACTTAGGTATTTTCATATCACTTGTACTAATATAACCTTTAATTCTTTGTAATTTTACATAGTGAGACAATAAGTGACTAATATATCCCTGACTTTTGATTTGTTTTCTTCAATTAGCTATTGAATTATAAATGTATTTTAAAAGTTGATAACTTTTGTATTTCTTATCGGTTTTACATATATAATATATCAAATTAATCATCTTTTCATGATCTTTGATTTGACATCCATATTGTATATATAAAATAAATAAATAATATTTACCTTTATAATAATAAAAGTTAATATTTATTAAATTTTATTAGAAAAATAAAATTATTTTTCAGTTGATATATTTTTGTTTAACGTAGCTATATGTTGTAAGTTAAAAAAATTATTATAATATAACACAAGTAAGTCACACAAATAAAAAGTGTCATACTAAATATATAATAATATATATTTTTATAAAAGTTATTTGAATTTTTTCAACTACTTTTTCTCAATAATTTTAGATTTTAAGGAAAAAATTAACAAATACCCATGTAATACACAGGCGTTGTACTAGTTATTAATTAAAAATGTGTTGAGTCTAAATGAAGACTCGTATTGTTCGAATGCACATTACGAGCATCTATGCTTCGTGTTTTGGTTCAGGTATAAAATTGTGGTTTTGGAATTAGGTTGGACATGATAAATAAATATAACTTTTTTTTTTTATCAAATTTGATAATTGTGAATTTGATTATATCAATTTTCTTCTTAACTTGGACAAACAAAAATCTTCCTATCTTTAAAATAATATGCCAATAGAAATATTTAATATATATATATATAGGGGAGGATACAATGAGTCCACTCCTTAAAATGAGTCCACTCCTTAAAATATATATTAATTAAATAATAAAATAATTACTAGTTGACTCCGGCGTTGATTGTTGACTTCTGGCGTTGACCGTTGACTTTCGGTAAAAAATCGTTGACTTTTGACATTGACCGTTGACTTCCGGCATTGCCCGTTGACTTCCGGCGTTGACCCGTTGACCCTTATTATGCATTATATGTATGAAGTAAATATGCATCCATTACCATGCATTCAATATGAACTAAATATGCATGACATATGAATTGCACATGCAGTCCTTATGAACTAAATATGCACCAATAATATCAACTAAGTATGCACCTGTTATGAACTAAATATGCACCTGTTATGAACTAAATATGCATCATGAATGAACTAAATATGCAGCGAAAAATATGCAATAAAATGTGCATTTTATATATATAATTTATGATGCATATTTAATTAATTTATTATGAATATTTAGGTAATTTATGATGCATATTTAGTTAATACGAAATGCATACTTGTTATATTTAAATTAAATATATAATAATATTTATATAATTAATTTATTATGCATATTTAGTTAATTCATGATACATATTTAGTTCTTACGAAATGCGTATTTAGCTCATTAACATTGCATACCTATTTTATTTGATATCCAATCATAACAATTTATTTGTGTTATTAATCAATTTAAAATTAAAATTAATTATATAATAAAAATCATTAATTATCATATTTAATTTAATTGTATAAAATGTTTATATTATTACATATTTTCGTTGCATATTTAGTTCATTCCTGATGCATATTTAGTTAGTAAAATGTGCATATTTAGTACATAAACAGTGCATACATAGTTGATATTATTGGTGCATATTTAGTTCATAAGGATGACATATTTTGTGAACTAAATATGCATGGGATATGAATTGCACATGCAGTCCTTATGAACTAAATATGCACCAATAATATCAACTAAGTATGCACCTGTTATGAACTAAATATGCATCTGTTATGAACTAAATATGCATCATGAATGAACTAAATATGCAGCGAAAAATATGTAATTATGCATATTTAGTTAATTCATGATACATATTTAGTTCTTACGAAATGCGTATTTAGTTCATGAACATTGCATACCTATTTTATTTGAGATCCAATCATAACAATTTATTTGTGTTATTAATCAATTTAAAATTAAAATTAGTTATATAATAAAAATTATTAATTATTATATTTAATTTAATTGTATAAAATGTATATTTTATTGCATATTTTCTGTGCATATTTAGTTCATTCCTGATGCATATTTAGTTAGTAAAATGTGCATATTTAGTACACAAACAGTTCATACATAGTTGATATTATTGGTGCATATTTAGTTCATAAGGATGATATATATAATTCATTTCTTATGAATATTTGGTTCTTACTAAGTGCATAGTACTATATGCATATTTACTTCATACAAAATGTACAATAGAGGTAAACGGTCAACGCCGGAAGTCAACGGTCAACGCCAAAGTCAACGCCGGAAGTCAACGTCAATGCCGGAAGTCAACGGTCAACGCTTGAGTCAATGGTCAATTGTCAAAATAATATTTAAATAATTAAAATAATAAAAATAAAGAATTAAGTAATAAAAATAAAGAATTATTATTTAAGTGAAGAGTTAAATCTTGGCCACACATCATGTATTAATCTAGTGGCTAGGAATGGGACTCACATTCACACTTTAAATATGTGTACTTATTGGATCCAATCCCTATATATATATATATATATACTAGTGGGCTCTCGCCTGTGC